CTAAATCCGCCCCTGGAATTGGAGAAAGAATAACATTATGGAGAGGAGGAATGTTAAAGGTTAAAGTGTTAGTACTGAGGACTTAGTACTACTATAGTTAAGATTACAGCATGTTTAATACAAATACCTTATTTATTTGAATAAACACATTTAGAATAAACATTTGCCACATTTGGAATAAACGCCTCCCTCAAATAAACACCCCAGGCCGTTTAGTTTTTTCCTCGAATAAATGCTCCCCCTCCCCAAAATTGATTTTAAGATTGTGAACGACAGTAATGGAAGCAATACCATTTTCAATACATTCTATTAATGTTTTACTCCAGTAAATTACATTTTTTAACCTGGCCGGGGCCAATAAGTCATTATAATCAGGCAATAGGGAGTATTTGCAAGCTTACATAAATGATAAAGAATTTGCTTACAACCTCACATTTTAGACAACATTTCCTCTAAAAAGACTGCATAAATGCATTACTGACACATTTTGATGATAATTAGGTGTTGCAGTTCCACATTTATAATGAAATTTATGGGATTTTGTTTGAGTTACATATCCTACAAAAACAACAAAAATCCTCTATGGAATGCCTTCCTCGAATAAAGACCCCTCAAACCCTTCTCTACAATAATCACTCTGCATGTTTGTAATTTCTTCTCTAACGATTTCTTGTTTAATGAGGCTCAATTTATTTTACAAAAGGTTTCTTCTATACCGGCGGTCATCTGTATGCATATATATTTTCATTGAGATTTTAGACTGTCGGCAATACCAATTACTAATTCAGCAGTGGAAGCTCAAAGAAGTGAAAAGAGGAGCATGCTTTTAGGTTTGAATTTAATTGTACATTTTATTATCTAAAGTGTAATTGAATAGTGCACTAGGAGACTTACTTGATAGTAATTTGGTTCACTTTTAGGAATTCGGTCTCAGCCTGTTTCTGATATCTTATACTTTTACTACAAGTATGTTATATTATAACCAGTTGTTGTTTTTTTGTATTTTATTGAGACAAAATAAATGAAATGAAATGGAATAAAAAATGCAGTGCTTCCAGACCAGTTATGCTAACACCACCACATCATTTAGATTGCGAATTTAACCATAACAGTGTGTATGCTCCCACTTCTATTGAATCACAGGCATTGGTAGGTACAGTATTGAAAACCAACCATGCAGAAATTCTAAGCAGCTGAGAGTATGACGCATTACGCCAACTATCCTAGAACACCAAAAGGCCTAAAGATTGAAAAACTGATGAACTCCAATGAAAATGCAATCAACTCAAAAGATTAAGGTTGGTATAGAAGATTTTGGTCAAGAAATACTAAGTAAAATAAAGAAAAGGCACAAAAAATATTTTCTTAGGAGTTTTATGCTTGGTTATGCAGAGCATACCTTGATAGTATGCCACTGTTCACAGTGACTTGTCCACCGTAACTGGTACTGGCTAAGAATTGAAAATATACTCAGCAAGTTTGCCCTTATGGAGAACATTCGTGTTGGAAATCTGTTCAAGAAAGTCTTCCAAAGGCAGGGCTAGCTTTTAATATTTATTCATCGCTATTCATCAGTTTACTTGTCATCAATAATACCATTTTCAGGCTGTTCGTTCGTATCGGATATTTGACTTACGTGAAAAGAGTGAGCAGAATCTGACTTAACTCTCTCTTATCAAGTGGGACAACAGGTTGAGATGGCTGGGCTAAGAAGATAGCAGGAGTTACCAGGAATGATGCCGAGCTGACATGCAGAACCACCTGTATGGCTCCACTCCAAATTTGTTGAGCTTAACTCTTCTTTCTTTTGACTGCTTGCAACTTCTTGATTTTTCTTGGTGCCACTTTAGTGTTAGAACAGAGGAATTGAGTCACTGCGCCCTAATTCCAGTATCTGTCCTTCAGACGTAAAGTCAGGGTTAAAAGGAAGTACTTCATGAAGGCTGTGGAAAAGAACTTGGGCATGAAAGGCAATAGATCTACAAGTGGGCTTACAAAATTGCCATCTTTTCCGATTTTTACTTGCTACGACCACAAAGGAACATGAGTTACACATCATAAGCCAGATTGCCCCTCAGCAGTTTTCAAGGGCAGTTCAACTGTATAATAGAAACAGTATACTTGGAGTATGAAACAACACAGGTATTTGATATGTCATGGGCTGCTTAACAGAGATGTGTGTGGTTAAAGTGTTCATGTTTCAATCCTCAGCTGACAATATAACAATTCCACTCCCAAAGTGTCTTAAGAGAATTTGACTCAAAAGCAAAAAACTGATGCTTCCACTGACTCCCCACAAGCCTTGGTACACCAAGTCTCTTTTAGAGGCTTGTGGGGAGTCAGTGGATGATAAATGACAATTTCCAAAAAAGTGATCAGGTCTCCACTCACATACACAAGGATCATCAAGGGTCCTAAATGATAAGCTACTCTCCAAGACCCTTAAAGGAACCTGGTAGTAAAATATTCAATTGTCTTCTGGAAGTTAGTGCAGTTGCGTATCACTATGCACAGCAAAATATAAATAGATGTGTTAAGAACACTCATTTAAACAGATCTCCCGAAATTGACTTCTTCCAACTAGGGATCCAAAAAAGGTTCCCAAATAAATAATGAGCTATGGTAATGTCCTTATAATGACATATTAAGGTAAATAACTGCAAAATTATGATAGCAGTTTTTATTTCTAAATGTATTAAAAACTAAACCTGAAATCATGTACCTTCTTGATTTCATCATCCCGCTCTCCATGACAGTAAATACGGACACTCTGATTGGTATCAAGATCAGGAAGCTCATTTGCAAAGACTACAATCCTCATGTATTTAGCATTACATTCTTCTCCTGAAGGTAGAGTAATTGTGAAAAAGCTGAAATGGCCTACAAACAAATAGGCATATTGATATTTCAGAAACAGAATTGGAGATGTGCCATCTTGATTGTAGTTGGTTTCCCTCCACTGTATCTTTCCATCTAAAAGTCAGATAAAAAAAATCCAAATATTTTATAGCGTTAGCATTGAATAAAATAGAAATACAAAGTTTTATAATAATAATAATGAGCACTTATATAGTGCTGGAATCTGTCTGGCGACACTCATGGCACTTTAAACTAATAACAAGTTTGATCCATTATAACAATAAATAATCATCCAACACCAGAAACTTGTTAAGTACAGAATGGAAATTAAACTACAGTAAAGCGACAAATAAAAAGATAAAAGAACAATCAACTATAGGAAATAAAGAGTAACAGAAAATCTTTAAAAGTTTGTCAGTAAAGTGAAACCAGTCAATCGTCGCAAAAATTGATTTTTAGTAATACAGGGTTAAACAGTAAAATGAGAGCTATAAAATGGCAAAAGAATCATTTTAAATCTGACATTTCATTTTTATATGAAGTTAGAGAAGTTTAAACATAGAGCTGTTTAAAGAGAAACTGGATTGGCTTGTCTTTGCCACAAATAATTCAATGCAACTGTCTATCATTATCACAAACAACTCTACACTACAAATACAGAACTCACACACCACAATGGCACTCCCACAATGTTTTGTGAGATACAGATAAACTTACCAATAACATTGTTACTGGTATATAGACACTCCTTCTCTTCAACTGTCTCCTTTACAGAGTGAGGAAACACAATTAAAACACGCTTCTGAAAGTGATAGTTATGAGGAAGACATGTTATGATTGGAGCTATGGAGCCTTCATTCTTGTCTTCACCTGGAATATTTAAATCATTCCAGCTGTCCAAAGCCAGTCCAATCTCGGCATTACTTCCTTCCGGAATCGCATATGGAGGAATGATTAATTGTACACCAGTACCTGGAAGTTTAATGCATGCACCTGAACAATCTACCTTAATGCGTGGAATTACTTCTGTTTTGGTTGCTAATGGTGAGAAGTGGATATTGCAACCAGTGATTCCACCACTTCCTATATCTTGGGAGCTTGTAAATGGTGAAGTTGATTCAAGCGAATTTTCAACGACGTTATGCTTCAACATTGAAATGCAATTTGGTTTAGAAGAAATAAATTCTTTCGCTTCATTTTGAAATAAAAGGCAATCTACATCAACATCACTATTGTTTTCGGAAGCATTGTCTAACACATTTTTGGTTGATTGCTGACTGTCTAAATTTGGTACAAACTCCTCAGTCTTTGACATTCTATGGACATCTTCAATTGACTGTTCCTCATTACTGAATGTAATGCTTCCAAAACCACTGTCCTCTGAAGAAAACCGTTTTTGTTGCAATCTGGAAATGTTCTTATGCTGAATGTCAGTGTTGGGTAAATTATATTTGATTGGCTTGACTTCGGATGACTTCACTTCATGGTAAAATTCACCAGAGATGATACAAGTATCATTGTCGATTGTCTTCTGACGTTCCATGACCTTATGAAGTTTTTGACACTTCTTTGATGGATTTTGGATGGCAGGTTTGCTAGATTCTCTAAGAACATCTTGATCGACTGAATCTACAGTATTAATTGCAAATTCATTATCATTTTTATCATCATTGTTAATTAATAATTAATATCATCAGTATTGTTATATATTAATACTATCATAACAATTTTATTATTTAATGATTATCATTATCATTGATACCTACCATTGTAAAGATTTAAGATTCTTTTTTAAAAATAAAGAATTAACAAATACAAATTCTATATTCAGTACATTTTTGGTGGGAGAGGGGTATGGGCTGCAGTGGCGGATGATTTAACAATAGGGGGTGGATAATGCGGTGTAAATCACTGAGGGGGGAAGGTGGTTTAGGGAAAAGGAGTCTCCTCCTATTTGGGATTCTTTGGAATTAGTAGACGGTACACTCTTATGAAAAGAAGGTAAGCTTAAAATAGAAAGTGTATGTTTCACCAGAGGAGCCACACACAACATGTATACATGAGAAGCACACACAATTTTTTCATGGTAACCGAAGGAGAGTGGCTAGCCATCCCCCCAACTCCCTAGATCCGCTACTGGGCCGGTTAAACTCAGATAAAGTGTAGCAACTGTAATCAAGCCTAAACTAGGATTCGGCTATGCAAGAGCATGGGCTTACGCTCAATAAAATATGGTATCAAATTTATTATTTATATTTAAAATTTATAATATATTATGTAGAACTTGGTTCACATTTGCTTTCCAATGTTTTCAATAAATAATAACAATATAAAACAAGTACAGTATACTTCAGGTAGAAGGCAGATTATTACCTGATGAGTCAGCAAAATGAGTGGCTTTCAGGTTGGAATGCATGTCCATTTGTTTCTCAAGTGGTATGTCTGAAATATGAATAAAATACAATTACAAGTTCATGAAACAAAAGTAATTACAATATACAACAATATACAATGCAAAGCAATGTTGTACAGTATATTATATTTACAGTAACTTTAATTACAACAAATTGTAAAATCCCGGGTTGGGTTCGTGAGGAGAGTTTTTATGGCTTTATATGGCCCAAATTGTGCTTTTAGACCACAATATAGGGATTGGCAATCACAAATGGATGTAAACATACAGTACATATTTAATGAAACTAGATAAACACCAACTCGTCCCATACACAAAATTATATAAGATTACTGGTATGACAGTAAAGCCTATATGTTTGAACTGAAATGGTGAACACTGTACATCACCATCAAAATAATCAAAACTTCCTAATATTAGAAATTTCATGTTTTCACTACAGAACAAATCCTTTAACAGGATTTAAAACCAGGACCCTGAGACTAAAAGGCATGCATGCAGTTATACAGTAGCTTCACTTAGATAATATTTACATATTTTTTTATTATTCAACTTTAGACACAGAGCCAAGAATATGCCAAAGAGTGAACTTAATCCTTATTCAAAGGGAATTGAACCCACAAGATGCTGGACTCCACTTAAATATGATGTAAAGACCAACTCCTTACCTTTGTTAGTTAATGATGGGACAAAGGTAAACGGAAGGGCATTACTCCAGACACCGTCAGATGGCCTTCGTAGCTGTACAGTAACTTTTACATTGGATGTAATGTTTTCATTCATGTAAGATGGGGTATAAAACATGATATTCTGTAAATATACATAAGATAAAAGTGAGTGAATGTTTGCATTCAAAGGATTATTTTTTCCAAGGTGCCATCCCCCTACACAAATATCTGACACAGACAAATACAAGTGAAATTGTGTGATAGATAAGTAGGTGATTATATAGCAAACAACTAGTCTTCCATAATAGGGATGGCATTAGTGATTTTTTTACAGTAAGTAGAATTTAAAATTGATTAAATAAGCCATTAAAACTCCACAATTGTCATAGTTTCCGGGGCTTCACCCCTTACATCACTTCCTCACATGTGAAATCCTTATCCGAGAAGACTTGGATCTGCCAACCAAACCCTGGGCAAGAAGTGGCTCGAACCCGAAAATATAATATACAAAATACAATAAAATATCATTCAGTAATCATTTAAATCAAAAGAGATTAAAACCAATAATAGAATATAATTTTTGGAAATAAAAAATGTGAAAGAAGCAATTCATAGATTATTAATGTAAAAAGTAACATTGATTACTAAAAAAAAATTTTGTAAAAAAAAACCAAAAAAAACCCATTTTACTTGGATTGGATTTATAGTTCATTACATTATTTATAGTTAAGAAATAAAACAAAATATCAGTAGTTCGCTCACATTGCTAAGTACTCCATTTTCCTTAATTTTGGCTATGTTTCGCCATCCGGTATGGTCCTCAATGAAGTAGACTTCTATATCATCTGAAAATATAAATCCACATTACTTGTAATTTGCATAATGTAATATACATGGCACATGACTAAAAAGTATTCTACAAAGGGTCATTAAATTAAAAATCGGATTATTAAAACTCCCAAAATAGTATGGTTAAGAATTTTGCATTAAATACCGTACTCGCACGAATAAGCGCCCGGGCGCTTAAAATATTTTTTGCACTTTTTGTGGGCCGCTTATTAAAACGGGGCGCTTATTCGAACGGGGCGCTTATAAAAAAGGAGTGAAAATTGAGGGGGCGCTTATAGAAATAGATGAAAATCGAGGGGTTCTTATGAGAACTTATTAAATCCAAGAGGCACATTTTGAATGAAAACGATTAAATAAGGACATCAGGAAACCGCAAATTACGAATGGTGCTGCGGCGGAAAAGATAATGGTCCAGAGAGCATGGCTGGTCATGACAAGAATGTTGTGAGTACAGTATTACATAACAGCAGAATAGCAGATGAAATTAGTGGTGGTGGTTAGCTTGTTCGCCATCGGTCGATTGAGAAGAGCAGGACGGCATAATCATTGCAGGTTTTCTTGAAAACTTGGATGAGAATGTGTTAGAGGTGCAAATTGTCGGAAAAGGAGTAGTAGGACTAGGCTATAGACAAATGAAAGAAGATAAAAGTTGGAAATATACTGTCTGTCCAGGGAGCTCTCATCTGTCCAAGATAAATATCCTCATTTTGATATTGACTAAAGGAGAATGTGATTCCACTCCACACCTCAAATCATGCCAACATCCACAGTCCAAGGATTGATTGGGTTATTGAGGGGGTGTTTACTCAAATTAGAAGGGGGCGCTTATTCAAACGGGAAGCTTAAGGAAATTTTCTCGTTATAAGGGCGCTTATTCGATAGGGGCGCTTATTCAAATGGGGCGCTTATTCGCGCGAGTACAGTACAGTCAATTAAATTCTAGTAAAATGAATGTATAGAATGTATAAATAAATGGTCCTTAATCTATAACAGCATTGCGTTAATTTCTTGTGTGCCCTCTACAAATAACAAAAAAATCTAAAGTACTGTAAATGGTAATGGTTGAAGACTTATACAGTGCGTAATACGTGGTCTCAATGTGCCCCCTACCGCTCCTTAAATCCTGGATATGCAAAATCTATTCTAGTAGGTCAACTAAGCTAACCAAGCTAAAATAAGTAACCGAAACAGACTAACGCAGAGGAACCAACACTATCGCACCGTTCACCTGCAATTTGAGACCAGTGGTTAGCGAATACATGTAGTGTTAACATCTGGCCTAGCCTTTCCTAACAACAAGTGAAAAATTAACAGAAAACAGAGACAAATTAAAAAGAAAGGAAAAGGTGTGATTTAAGGCTCTGCTCTGCTTGAAAACAGAGAGCGAGGAAGACTCCCGAATGTAGGTGGGAAGTTCACTTCAGAGCTTAGAAGCAGCAACCTGAAAAGACCTCTCTCCGTATTTCAAGTTGCACCGTGTAGTAAAAAGTGTATGCTGGCTTGTGGAGACCAAAGTCTTCTGGAACAGGTTGCCGAGTGAAGATCACTCAGATACACCGGAGAGGAATTATGAAGGTACTCGTATTTGTGAACAAGAAACTTGAATGCGCTGTTTTACTACAGCCAATGGAGAGTTTTAAGAGTAGGCGTGATGTGGTGCTGTCCTTTGGGTAGTTGTTTGACAAATAACTATCTTTGTAATGTTTGCATGGTACAAAGACCCCATGTAAAAATGTAAGAGTGAATGATTTTTTACTACAGTAATAGTAGATTCACTGGTTTACTTAATGTAAAAAAAAAAATCTTATTTCCATCAATTACCTGCTTCGACGGAATCAACATTAGCGAAAATAACTTCACCTCCAGTTGCCTGGCCAATCTCAGCACTTAGTTTTTTAAGTCTCAAGTTCAAACTTTGGCCTGTAGTAGAATATAAAATGATTATTATTTCTTATTAATTGAAAATCATAGTATCTACTGTAGTATTCATCTAATGTTCAAGGGTACTGACAACCATGGCTAAGAATAGATATTATACAACAATCTAAATATTCAACTAGTCTTCATTGGGGTGGATGCAGGGGGGAGGGGGTACAGACGGTGCAATCACATCCCCCTAAATTGTATTAAGAAATCTTTTTGTATTGTACTGTTGATATGAACCTATAATAGTACCTTTAGGATTTTTAAGGTATGGGAGTGCAATTTCAGGGCACCTGGAGGTCCATCCTCAACCATGATGGGACTGAGGTTGTGTAGACTCTCATGCACCCCCTACCACCAAATCCTGCATCCGCTACAGCAATGTCTAAAGGCCCACTCAAACCTCGTACAACGTAGCCCAACACAACTTATCATCGGGGACAGTCTAAGGTCGTTTTGAGAATATTACATGTGATTGATATTCTAGGATGTGACAGTCCCCAATGCAGTTTTATGAAGCATTGCATCTGCGTTTAACTCACACATACTTGACGCTGACACATCGTGTGGGTGTGTATTGTACGATAATGTCTAAGTTTGCCACACCCTAGGTGTTTGATATTAGTACATTTATTTTGTAGAATATTAGTATATTCCACTTTTGTTGTATGAGCAATGAGCCCCTGCAATAAAGAGGTACTTGACTTTTAACTACTGTATACTCTTTACAGTACTTAATCAGATGAGATCACAGGACAATTATATCAACAACATAAAAAATCAAATATTGACTTTGAATTGCGCCATTTATGCAATGTGTTCTATTAGTGGTAGTAATTAATGGCTGTCTCTTATACACATCTATGTATATACAGTATTTCAACATTAAGTTTAAAAGTTTCAGTTTTACAGTAGTTTGTTTATTCAGCAGGCTTGTGATCTGCGGTGAGTGATTGCATTTGCATATCACTCACCTAATATTCTCTTCAGGGGTATGAAAAACAGAGCACCTTGGATTTGAAAATCTGGTAAAACCCCCAAACTGTGCCCATGCTTTCTGCTATGATGTATTATAAATTACCCCCCCTGCTATGATGTATTATAAATTCCCCCCCCCCCCCCCACACACCCCAAAGTAATCACTTGCCTAAACAAAATTATGTGTGTGTTTTTAAGCTTACTTGCCATTTTCAAATGACAAGCCCTGATTCGGTAATTCACATTACATCAAATACTTAGTACAAATATTGAAGATGCACTGTCTGTCTTGATCTACTCTATAAAAGAAATTGAAAAATTCTATTTTTATATTTGAATTCCCTAACTTGCATATTTAAATTAGTTTATTAACTTACAATTGAAAATTTAAGTGAAAAACAATTTTCCCCATCAATTATTGTACAGCTAAATAATTTATGTATTCTTTTCCTAGGTCAAATTACTGTATAATCAGTTTTTTGATATTGGCAGTAAAATGTCCGGAAATCAGCAAAAACATTTTTTTTTTTTAATTTGTTTCTGGTTAGAAGTGTACTTATTTGACCTTTTTGTTGTATACTTATGGGTCAGGCATGATTTCTATTTTAAACTTTAGTTTCCGGGGTTTAATATTAAGGAGTATAAGGCAGAGAAGAGATGCTCTCCCCTGGAAAAATATTCTGATTAGAATGCAAAATATGTTTATATCAAGTGGTTAACAGTTTATATTTGATTTTTAGTTCTAATGAAGAGCTCTGTGAGTACCCTGCTGGTTAATTAATAGATCATGTTTGTATGGGCGGCTGTTATGGCCAATTATTTTTATTATTATTATTATTAGTGGCCAATTATTTTTATTATTATTATTAGCTTCGATGAGAAGCTCTAAAAACACTTGGCTGATTGATTTGGTACCAGTTTTTAACGGACGTGCAGGAAATTTTTTACACATGCTGTAAACGAGACCTGATTTTCAACAAATGTTCACAGGCCTTTTTGAAGTTGCACCTCAGTGTGCCCCATACGCTAAAAAACGAAACAGGGGTTTCAGCAAGGACTGTACATTACTGCCATTACCACTATTATACACGTCGCATTCTAAGGAACCAAAGGCCGTGAGTTTGAATCGCGCCTTGAATTCAATTGTTAATTTTTTTTTAAAGACACTTTTTTTTTGTACAAATTATTTAATCTAATTATTTAAAAATTTCTCTTTCTTTTTTAGCTCTTCCAATTTTTTCTGTCAACTAACTCTCAATTATCTTAGAATGTTCATTTTTACCAAAAAAAAATAAATTAAACATTGCAGCACGATTCAAACTCACATTGCTTCCATTCCTTACAACACAGAGTTAACCGAACGCGCCATTTATGCAATGTGTTCTATTAGTGGTAGTAATTAATGGCAATAAATCCAATAAAATAACGTACAGTATGCCTTTATGTAACCTCAGTGTCGACAAAAAGTCTTGTTTGAAATACTGCTGAATAGAGATAACCTCAGTTTAATAGATTGATTGATTGATTAATAGATCATTTTTTAAGGGCAGCTGTTAGGGCCAATATACTCTACTGTCTCTATTATACTGCCCTCATCGGAGCTTACGAGAACTTGTTTTTTTTTGTTATAAATATGAATTTCAAATGTTTTATTTCAGGATTTGGAATAAGTACTTTACATGATTCATTCACTATGACAGGGTTTGGATGGGGTTTGCACTGTGTTTTTTTTTTGGGGGGGGGGGGTTTGTAGGGTTTAGCAATTTTTTAATACAAAAAATGACCTTTTTGCCCCAAAAATTGGTTGTTACAAATATAACATTTACTGTACATGATTACTTTTTATTGAGATACCAAGTTGAGTCCCATACTACGTGATTCAATCACCATCACAAGGTTTGGATGGGGTTTGCGGTGCTTTTTGGGAGGTTTGCGGGGATTAGGAATACCCTATCATCATCATATTTGGTGTTTAGCTATGGTATAACAGTGCTAGCAGGGTACATTACTCTTGGTGTTTATATAGTAATTAACCAAAATTTATTCAGCTTCATTTGTGTTTCATTGGGGTAAAATTCCATTTCTCTTCGGTAATTTGTTCAAATTTTGTATCATTTTGATAATTCATTTCATTTGGGGATTTGTCAGATTGGTTGAGTTGTATCCGCAGGTTTGTCCACACACAAAGTGCAGACGACTAGCAATTAACTCAGTGCTAATTGCACTCAGTCTGGTGCTGATCAAGACAGTGTTAATGCATAACCATGTCTAATTTCAGCATATTTCCATTATTTAGTTTAATTATGTTTATCTTTTCAGGATTGTGACGTAACAGAGGCATACTGGGCTTCAGAATTTTTATTCTTTGTATGTGTAGCAGTTGGGTTTATCAGTATTCTTTTATCATTTTTCCAAAAGATGTAATAACACAATGTACGAAAGGTAATTTCCAACAAACGCCCTTTTTTAATGTTGGACCCCATGGTTCCCCCTACACCTACAAAACAAAACAGGGGTTTCAAACTTTAAAAGCGTCCAGCATCGCCAGTTTCGAACGGACGTGCGGAAAATTAGAGGTGATTTCCATCAAATGTTCATCACCCTTTTTTTAACTTAGACCCCAGGGTTCTCCCTACACCTACAAAACAAATTAGGGGTTTCAGCAAAGGACTGTACATTACTGTCATTTACCACTAATAGTGCATGTCGCATGAATGTCGCGGTCTAAATGTTTTCTAAAGAACTTAAGGTCGTGAGTTCAAATTGCGTATTAAGCAAGTTTGAATCACATATATATTTTTTTCATTTTGTCAGACAGTTCTCATCCATGTTCATTAAAAAAGAAAATTAACACCGAGGCGCGATTCAAACTCGCGACCATCGGTTACTTAATGCACATCGTTAATTGACTGCGATATCTGTGCTGTAGTAATAATATAGGACACATTGCCTGGATGGTGCGGTCGGTTAAGGATGTGTTCTCACAACCTAAGGTTGTGAGTTTGAATCGCGTATTTAGCAAGTTCGAATCGTGTATTTAATTTTGCTTTTTTTACTATCTTGTCAAACATTCTCATTCATTAAAAAAGAAAATGAACACCGAGGTGAGATTCGAACTTGCGACCTTCGGTTAAGGATGTGTTCTAAAGAAATTAAGTTCCTGAGTTCGAAACGCATCTTTTTTTTTTCCAATTTTAAGAATTTTCTTTTTTTTCAATTTTAAGTATTTTAATTTTATACTAATGATCATTCTAAATAATGTTTTTTTTTCTTGTACAAATAAACATTCTAATTATATTTAAACATAGAGGGCAAACCTTCAAGCGTATTTATCAAATTTTATGTATACCTGATGACTTTTTATTTTTATTTCATTCATTCTAGCAAAACAAATAACAATATAATACATTACAAATACAAAAAATCAGAAATTCACAAAGAATAATTAGGTGAGCCAGGGAGCAGCAAAAGAGATGTGCTGCTCCTTCTGATAAAATAATTTTTTTTAAATATTTATAATTGTAATGAAATATGAATTTTGATGTAACTTTGTGTTCTCCTAATTCCTTTTGATAACAATTTGAGATTTATATTTGAAGTGCAATTTAAATTGTGATGTAATTCAATTGATGTTTTTGCATTTTTACACCAAATGGACCATGGATTTCCATGTATTTGATGGACAATAAAGGTTTATTTTATCTTATCTTATCCTAGAAGGTCGGCTGATATTCAGAAGCCCTGAAATAAGGTGATGCTTTTATTAGTACGTGTCCTATGATAAGGCTTAGGGAATGGAGTTGTTTGCAGTTGTGAGAAAAAGTCCTGCTGTCGCAGCAATTCGAACCCAGGACCCTTGGATTAAAGGGCAAGCATCCACTAAGCTATTCAACTCAACTCCACAATATATAATATTGTATCAACTTTCTTTTCTCTTTTTTTTTTTATTTATTGACAATCAATCACCCCAAACAAGGCTAATGAAGCCACTCAAGGTAAAGAAATTGGGAAGGTTGATAAACAAAAGAAAAATAGTGTGAAGGCAATGACTTCCAAAGAGAAACAGAATGACAGATTAATGCATTAAAAAAAATACTGTATTTAACAAATTTAAAACTATTAGTCAAATTCTCAATTGAACTGGCTTTTCAGAGACTTGGATATTAAGTGGTAAGAAAGTTTAACGGTGAATACTTTCTTAGCAAAGTTTCATCCCTGTCTCTTATACACATCTAGATGTGTATAAGAGACAGACTCTATAAAAGAAATTGAAAAATTCTATTTTTATATTTGAATTCCCTAACTTGCATATTTAAATTAGTTTATTAACTTACAATTGAAAATTTAAGTGAAAAACAATTTTCCCCATCAATTATTGTACCTGTCTCTTATACACATCTCTCATCTGTCCAAGATAAATATCCTCATTTTGATATTGACTAAAGG